TGACCTCTAGTGGCAAACTAAAACCCTGCATGGAGTTCTGAACGTTCATCCCTTCGTTAAATCGCATGGGAACAAAAATGCCGTGTGTTGTTGAATTTGAGCATTTGTACATTCAAAGGTGCTGATCAAGAAGAGCTACGACCGCAGCAGGAGGGTGAAGCGCAGGAACTGGAAACTGCAGGAGATGGCCAGAGACCGTGAAGGCATGGACACAGATGATGAGAGGTAAGACTGCTCAGCTCATTGAGATGAATGATGTATGGCTTACAAGCATTTACCTCTAAGCTGTCTTGGGAATGTTTTGTTTTTTTTGTTTTTAGGCTAAGATTAAGGACTTAAAAGTTTAAAAAGCACTTTTGTTTGGGACTATGTTCAGGTGTTTGTACAGTGGTTTGGTTTTTTTGGGGGTTTTTTGTATTCCTGTCGTCCTCCCTTCACTCCCAGCTGATTGTGGCTCCCCTCCCTGACCCTGGTTCTGCCAGAGATTTTCCTTCCCACTGTCGCTTAGTGCTCCCACATAGCGGTCATCTAATTGTTGGAGTTTTCCTTCCATTATTGTAGGGTCAACCTGAAGTTGTATAGTTTTCACTTGGAAAAAAAAAAATCAGGTTTATTGGTGTGAATGATTTGTTTCAACCAGTATAGCGCTGTAGCTCACTGATGTGTGTTTTTGGACGACAGTGGAGGCGTAACAGATGAATGAGCTGCTTCAGACTCAGATACACAGAAAATACTTCTTAAAATGATTCATTATTAGTTTTAAGCTTTTCATACAATTTCTAAACATATTGACAGACACAGTTGCCAAGTGGAACTGCAGAGCTGTTAATATAGTTGAGGACACGCGCTTTACATAACTGTGGTTCCTCGTGCCTCCCCAAGAGTGACAGAGAGGGAGTGGATAAATATTTACAGTTTTTTTGCTAACATGAATGTTCAATAAACATGTTAAATGTGTATATTTTCCCTTTTTTCTTGAGTCCGTTTGCTCACGCAAAATGAAATGTGAATGAAAATTAATCCACAGTAACCCTGTGACGAATCAGATTAAACATTTTAATTGTTTGACAAGCACTAATATATATTATATATTTTTGTATGCTTACCTATTAGTATATAGTTTCATTTTTTTTACGGTAAGTTGTATTTCACAGGAGAGATCCTGTGTTAAAAGATTGAAGAACACTCTTCAAATTCTCTTTGAATTTAAGCATTTAACATTCTTTGTTTATTCTGCATTTACTTCATTATATTCCATAAATGTCTGTTACAAGCTTAAATATAAAGTTGAAAAATGTAATTGCAACCAGGCTATTGATCAAGTAATTGTAATTAATCACGATTAATTACAGAAAAATTTTTTTAATCTTTTGACAGGACTAAATATTATGAATTAATAGTCAGGTGAATAAAAAAATATCTAATCAAAAAGTGGGGGTCGGGGGTGCTCCTCATGAAGTATTAAAAAATTAGCATAAATTTGAAACGCCTTGGAAATATCCCTTAAAAAAGAGCCGTCAGAGGGCACAACTCTCCCAGAGGTAAAAGGCTATGCTAAAACTTTTATGTTTTATGATGTCAAGTCACGCTGGCATCTGCCTGTTATGGTCTCATTGTGACATCGAAGGGCGTTGTGTAGAAAACATAAAAAGTGTCTCTTACAGCTCGCTCCCTGTGATATGATGTATTACTCAATATGGTTTCTTGACATTTCTTTCCCCCCAAGGTCAACTTTACTTTGGAGCTAGCAATGAAGGTCAAATGCTTAGCCAACCTAGGTACTCGTGTCCTGGAAGGCCCAGTATATTATTGTGAAGTTTTAGATGATCCATAAAAATTGTGCCTAATATAACGTTTTAAGCTGTTTTTTCAACTTTAACATTTTCTATGACCTCGACCCAATTTTTCACCAAAATGAAGTCGGCTTGAGCTATCAACGCACAAAATGTGAAAATTACATGTTAAAAACTGGTTGATAGACCGCTAACAATCAGAACTGATTATTTACTCCCTCCCTTTGAGGTGAGATTAAATAACCAAAGGGTCTTATTATCATTTTAAGATTAAAGCCGTTACTTCCAGCACGCACATCTCCAGTGTAGACCACATAGGAAAAACACTTTGATACCTGAAACGAGGACTCAAGGGAGTTAATAGTTGTTTAGTGTACTAAGAGCGCAGAGTGTCATGTGGTTTGTCTTTTGTTATCTGTAAAGTAACCAGACTGGTTTTGCTCTCAACTTACTTTTCTGTCTTCAGGCAATATCAGGACTTCCTGGAGGACCTGGAGGAAGATGAGGCACTGAGGAAGAACGTCAATATCTTCAGAGGTGAGCAGCTGATGACCGCAGCACAGACTTACTCCCGCAGCAGCATCACGAGAGAGATTTCAGACCCTTTGTTTAGGTTTCTATTGTCAGGTTACGGCTCATTTACCGTCAACGGCTGCTTGAGGTTCTGATGGAAGTTGTGTCACACATTCATTACAGATGATGCATGAGACACTTAATGAGCAGATGCTGATTTTTCAATTTCAGATGCGTCAAAGATCCCGGTGGAGAGCGACACTGATGATGACGGAGCACCACGCGTTTCCCTGGCGGAGATGCTGGAGGAGTTGAGTCTAACGGACGCCACAGGAGGAGAGGGTGCCGACATGATGACGGACTAACCAGTTGGCGTTCTGACATTGTGACGCCGACAGCTGATTTATCAAATAAAGGCCCGTTTACAATACAACGGTGCAATTGCACACCGGATTTAGAACTGTCTGCAAATTGGGGACCGTTTCAAACACAGACAGATGATATGTTGGTGCAAACAAATCCAGTGGTGTACTGGTTTATGATGGTTAAAACGTACCAACTGTGAGTCATAATGGCACTCAGTCATATGAAACATGATAATTTATCTCCATGGTCTCAGTGGATTTTATCCAAACTGGGTCTTCAGATCACATTTCCTGTCTTTATATGATCCTCTTTGTCATATCAGAATAATATGAAAATGAAGCAGTTACAGCTGCTTTATCGAAATAAATCCTTACCCACACATTTTCTGCTGGTTTAGAGGCTCATGTTGTGAAGTGCTTTGCTTTATTTATCCACCAGAGGGAGCTTTGTGCTAGGAAGATATGGGAAGTAACTCATTTAAAGGAGGCTGGCAGCAAGCTGAGCAAAGTCTGTTAATGGTGTAATTTGGCTACTGTGGGCAAAATGCAAATGCTGTCCAGCTGCAACACCTTCAGCCAGCGAGCGTACAGTCTCTGTGAGGCGAGCTGATTTAAAAACGAAAGTGTAAAAATGGGCATTCTTCCCCTCTCTGTTTGAAGCCTGTCGCACCAGCATGTGCTTTAAATGCAATACATTTAAGTCAGCACTTATTTGTGCCTTCACAGTTCATTCAAATCATGCTCTCAAGTCTATGCTTAACCCATTGTGCCACTAATGGCACATTTATGACAAGCTCCTAGCTCCAGCTTACTGAAAAGGTGCAAAAATGTAAAGATCCAAACAAATTTTGGATTCCACTGCACATTAAAGCCGACTCTTTTACCAGAAATGCTCCTCAGAACAATTTTTCTCACATGAACACTCAAATTTAAGGCTTTTGGACCAGTAAAATTCAAGACTTTAACATTTTTGGATTATGTTGCTTGATATTCTGATAATATACAGGATAATATAGCAATGTATTATGATAAATGTCAGGCTTGTGGGATTTCGAATGTAAATATATAAACACGGTGACAACATCCTAAATCAGTTGTTTAGAAGCAATAAATGAAGTAGAACAATAAAAACTTGGAATGTATTTAACAGGGGGGTTAATTAACTCTATTAAATCTGATTTCTTTTTTTGTATGTGAATGCATTAAAGCAAACCATACTGGAACTGTGGTTAAACATGCCACCATGTTTGCTGGAACAGTTCAGCCCGCCACTAGCCAGCTTTATGTAATATAAAACAGAGGAATGTGTGTATCACAGGGTGTGTTAGTTTCACATTTTGACTCAGGGAGGGGAGGGGGCAGCCCTTGTTTTTCACAAACCTGAGCAGGTTGTTAACGGTAATCAGATCTACTTGGGAAAACGAATGAAGCGAATCCCCCTTGCTCTTTCTCTCTCTTTTGTGTGTTGGCCTAATTCACCTGTAGTTTCCCTGTTTACAGACTACAAAGTCCCTAAAGGCTTAAGACTGTGGATGTCCGATTTGAATGATGATTTCCCCAGTGCTTGTCGCAGGCAGCAGCAGCAGTCGGTGGTTTCACTGCAGCTCCTTTACAAACATGTGTCCGGTGTGAAGAAGCGCCTTCGTGAGCTGTGCCTGACATTTCAGACCAGTATCCATCGTCCTGACGCTAACTGCGGGCTTGACGGTGCATCTATGCGTCACCGGTGCGCTACCCGTGTTTACACATCAATAATGCAGTATAAGAAGTGAGCTGGTCAGCAAAGCTCACAGTTAGGAGATAAGATTTCTCAGCTGTATGCGTGCTTACAGAAAGACACCCTGCTCTGTGTGTATATGAGAGAGAGTTTCTTCCACAGGCGTGTCTGAGCTCCCTTGGTTGTCCCACAGCTGTATGCAGGCTATGAATCCATAGACTGAAATGATCAAGTCCAGAAGGAGATGTGAGGACTCCTGATTTGTTTTCAAAACACTTTGGAGAATGTTTAAGGCTGCATTCCCAGACATCCCAGAAACACTCAGTGTGAGTTGCAAAATATAATTAAAGAGGCATTAGGTGTTGTAGCCTGTTATTACTTCATCTAGTATTATCACGGAGAAGGGGATGGAGAGGAGGAGGAGGCTGCTTTGGAAATGCTTTGTGAGCTGCATTCAGCTGAACGCGCTTCTTGCCGTTCTGTGTATGATATCTTGTCGCTTTAATAATTTGGTTTCCTCTAATGAAATGCAAACTACAGCATGCCGGAGTTGCGGTACACCAGTGTGGTCTCTGCTTGTTTTTCCGTTTTCCATCCTCCTCCTGCTGCTCCTGCTGCTGCTGCTGGTGCTTGATTGCTCGCTGCTGTCTACGTCAGAGGTGGCGCAGTGTCGGGCTGCAGCAGCATGGTGGGACAGAGGCGATGCGACACCGACTGAACAAAGTTTAAAGATGCCGCACAAAGCAGCAGCACACCACACATGGCTGGGATAGAGGTCCGGCCCTCTCCCCCGTGCCTCTTATGCAAGGACTGTTTTCTTTTTCTCTGCATAAACAAACACCGGCCTATGCATCGCATCTCTCGGACACTCCACCTGCGTGATCTGCGAGCCAGGTGAGTCGCGAGTCTAAGCACGGGTAGTGGGTGTGGTGTCATGTGTGTACCACATATAGGCTGGTGGTGAACTGGTGAAGCAGCTTTTTGGTTTACACAAAGCAGCGGAGCAGCAGCAGCGGCAGGGGGACTCCTCTGGTCTCATAATCGCAGTATAACGAAGGAATCTCACGTCGGCTGCCGAGGTGAGTGACGGCACAGGCTGAAGAGCTAATAAGCGCACACGCCTTCTAATATATAGTCCATACACATGTATTAAAATCTAAATTCAGTAATCATTGCTGTGGGTTGATAACTAACTCTAGTTTCACTTGTTTATGTCATTTGGGCACAATTTATAACTTTTGCGCAAATTCTTGCAGGTTTCTGGGTCAAACTTGGCATTTTAAGCAAGGCACCATCCTAACACTAATGAAAAAAAGAAAGGTAACTATCACAGGAAACTACCTCGTGGAGGCTTCAGGACAACAGTCCTATTAGACCCCTTTTTGTAACAAGGAAAGTTAATTTGATTGCACACGGTTGATGATAGCGGGTCTGTACTGGGAAGGAAACGTTGTTTTTCATATTCTAATAAATTGCACGACATTTAGAAGAGTGCACCTGTAACGCACCTGCTGGCCCCGCCCCCTACCTGTCTAGAAGGATCTATCACTGCCTGCCACCGCTTCAGCGTATATCATTTATCATATTTGATAAGACGTAGTCTGATAACATCACGGTCTTGGTTTTAAATCTAAAACGTTATTTTTGTCCATAAATTCAGCTCGTTGGTCTGTGATGCGGCTTCTACTTTATGCTTCTTATTATTTCATAATTGTCAAAGATAGATGCAGTAGATAAATGTAAAGTATAAAAAATGTGTAGCTGTGTAACAGTAAAAATTGCACCACCAATGTTATTTCCAGCTTATGAGTACTTACGACACTTTCTGTTGAGCCTTGTATTTTTTTTCTTCTACTACTACTTCTGCAGAATGAACTTCAAGAACTTGAGGGAGTACCTGGCTTGGTTATACTACCAATACCTGCTCATCACCGGCATCTATGTCCTGGAGCCGTGGGAAAAATCCATCTTCAACTCCATCCTCTTCTCTGCCATCGCCATGGTCGTCTACACCTCATACGTCTTTGTACCCATCCACGTGCGCCTGGCGCTGGAGTTTTTCTTAGGCATCTTTGGCGGCCAGCCGGAGAGCACCATGGCACTCATGACCTAAAAGAAACAAAACAAAACATGAAGGTAAAGAGACAGAAAATGTGTGGATGAGCATGAATCTGTCATCATATTTTCTTATAACTCACCTCCTTAGATCCTAGAGCACCTTGAGCCCTCCTTTTACAACAAGCTCGCCCTAAACCAGGCAATCAGCCACCTCTGCGAATCACGACTGAAAACATGAAGATCTTAATGGAACGATGTGGAAATCAGAGCCTTACTATCTTCTTTACATCCCAAACCCTCCAGCCTTACCCCATGGTATTAGACAGGCAGCAGAACAGTGCTTTCACACATGTCCTGTGAGATGTCTTATGATATGTTGTTTGTCCTTATTGATTTTTTGTTTGTTTTTGTTTTTTTGTTGTGTTTATCACCATATGTCCTGTGTGAGTGCATACCACATATGTGTTTTGCATGATAGGGTCATATATGGGCAGTCGATTTGCATGCTCATCTCACTATGAAATACTACTAGACTTGCTTCTTTTTTATTGCCTTTTAAGCTCCAGACTCACTATTTACAAAAAAGCAGACCGATCATTTTATAGCGTCTGAATCCAGTCTGTAAAATTTATGTCTGGCATTCTGAATTTACAGCTCACTACAGAGCAAGCTGTCACGTTTCAAGTGTTACACAGTGAGAGGCGACTACGTGAGTTCGAGATGATTTTAGACACAGCCCAAATTTCCTTCAGAGCCGTGGAAGGCATTATATGTCAGGCTCTGTGGGACTTAATGCAACAGGTAAACTAAACTTGCAATGCAACATCAGTGACGTTTCCTTTTTAAGTGTGTGTATGTTCGTTTATCTGATGTATCTGTGATGCCATGTTATCTCGTGCACTCACTCTGGGTGGTTAATCTGTAGTTTTGCATCAGAACCGCTATCACTGGGTTTTGTTTTTTTGTTTTGGTGTTTGTTTGTTTTTAGTTGCCTTTATGAGCTGCAATACTGACTGGCAGGGCACATTACACATTTCACGTAGATGTCATTTAGCTGATCTTAACAGAGAGGACTGATAAAAAGCCCAACCTATGCAATGAGTCTTAAAACGTTCGTGTTAAGACTCTGTTAAACAGATTTTCCCAGTCAGTGTGAGTAATATTAAGCCAAAATAACAGAAGAGATACGTGCCGAGCCCTGCTTTATCTCTAGTTTATTAACTGTTGCCATTTCTGGTAGGTGTACTCAGCTCTGAGCTTGAGCAAATATTGATACAACACACCTTTGTGTTGTAGGCTTGGCTTTGGTAATTACGTAACTCTACTTCACAAACCCCTGAAATCAAAAAAGAACTGTTTGATGTTTCATACAGAATGCAAAGATACTGTAGGCAAATTAACCCAAATGAAAAACAATGACATGGCTGACCAAAGTCTTCCTTATCTATAGTTGATCTATAGATAGAAAGTGAGTTTTAGTGTGTCTGGTAGCTGCGATGAGCATTGTGCGTTGGATCATTTTTAGCTATTTGTGCTTTGGGTGAGGGGCTCACTGGTTATAGTTCAAGCATAAGTAACAATGAGTTAATTTTATTTATATGGATTTATATATTTATATACACTGGTAAATGCTTGGCTGGTTACAATGTCAATTACCAAATGTTTGTGATTATTTATATCTGTGTTCTCCTGTGGCCATACTTTTGTTATTTGCTCTGTTTCTCTACCTTAAAGTGCTTTTTATATTGTTGTATCATTTCATTTCACTTTGGATAAACATTTGCTGAAGTCTCAGACGTTTCCAGCTCAGACAATGACGCGTTCTCTGAAAAATCTTTTTTTTTTTTTCCCCACTGTGCACAAAATGAATGTTTTATTTATACATGATGGTGACACATCGCTCCAGTAATCAGAAAATAAAAATGCATCTGAAGATTCTTGGACAACTCTTCTCATTCTGTGTGGTTATTTATACATACTTATAGTTTTAAATGCAATTTAAATATTGTGGTCAGAAATTTATGTATATTCATCAGCATGATTATCACTGTAATTTTGGGCTCATAATGAATTCTTCGGACAGTTATCTTTCCGGAATAAAATGATTGTATAGCACACATACACATACAAGCTCAAATATACATATACTCACATATAAATCTTTTACTAAGTGGCGCTGAAGCTTCTATAATGTCTTTCAACTTGACAAAGCCGAGGCTTAATAACTTCTCCTTAGTGAAGGTAGGAAATTTTTAGGATGTTCAGAAATGCTCTAGGAACCACTTAGGCTCAAACCAGCGTTCACTAAAACCTGGAAAACCAGCATCTCTGTCCACAGTGAACTGAGTTTTACACCGCTGAGGACCGAGAGGGTGACAACCAAGAAAGAAACCCCTGCTCCAAAATGAAAACCATTTATTTTGTGTTTTATTTATTTATTCGTAAATATTTATTTATTTATATCTAAATGAATAAAACATCATAAAGTTCTATAGAACTTTGCAGCTGCCCACATGGAAAAGCCAGAAGCCATCTGAAGCAAACGTCGATGTTCCGACGGGACAGCTATTGAGCTATTTGTCCACAATGACTGGGTATGTTTGGAGGAGTAAAGAACTCTGTACCAGCTGTGAAGCATGGTGGTGGTAGCATCATGCTCTGGGATTGTTTTGCTGCCAGTGGTACTGGTACCATACTTGCCAACCTTGACACCTCAGAGTTAGGGAGACATTCAAAAAAAAGGGGGGGTTACATATACATAGACATATACAAAGATCTTGAATTTTACAGTGAGTTAAATGTCACAGTTATTGCTGTCCCTGAGCCGGGCTGTCCAAATTCAGAGGCTGCATCCATCTGAGGACCAGGCCTTTGTGGTCTAAGTGGGCCGGGTCCTCCAAAAGCCGGGTAGGCAGCCAAACCGATTTACTCAGGAACAAATAAAACACTGAAAAAAGTAAAACTATAAAATTTTTAAGTTATCTAAGTGACTTATATATCATGTTTAACCTGAGTAGCGAAAGATCGTGGGGGTTTGAAAACGATGTGTTGGGAGTTCGCTGTTCTCGTCGGCTCAGATATTTTATGTTTACACAGCTACATTCTCACCTGAAAATATGCTAAAAGTTTATTTTGCGACCCAGAAAGAGTAATAAGACTGATATCGAAACTAAGTAGCTGCCACCATTGTTGGAAACTGGAATTGGCTGGGCAATGCTATGAATTCTGGGATATGGTTTTTCATTTTTGTTGTCCAGGTGGAAAATCAGGAGACATTCAGGAGAATGGTGGCTCCAGGAGATTTTCGGGAGGGGCACTGAAATTCGTGATTCTCCCGGAAAATCGGGAGGGTTTGCATGTATGACTGGTACGTTGCACAAAGTGATGGAACATGAAGAAAGAGGACTACCTCAAAGCTTTGCCTCAGAGCCACATGAAGATGTTTGAAACTTGGATGCAGTTGGGTGCTCCAAGAGGACAATAAGCCAAAACACATCAAAGAGCTCCACAGCACTCTCTTTTCATATATAATTCAAAATACCTTTTCTCATGCAATGGTGAAACGCCAACGTGTTTCAGCACACAAGCCTTCATCAGGGAGTGAAGCAGAAGGCAGGAACCAACTGAACAGTGAAAAACTCCACCAACCAATCAAAGACAAGAGAAGAAATAGACCACACTATCATATCAACCTCAGATAACATCCATCTTCAAAGGCAATTAAGTTTAAAGAAGAAAAGTTTATAAAAATAAAAGAAATAAAACTGATATAAGCGAGGATATCTAGTGAGCTGTACTTTAAAAATCCATAACTGATTTTATATAGTGCAGGCTAACATTGAGTTTCTGGAATGATCTTCCCAAATCACCATCCTCATCAAGTGTGAGTTTGTCCGTATGTATTTGAGCCTGTGTGTAGTAGAAAAAATACAAAATATATTCAAACTTGGACACGCATTTCTTGTTTTTAAAGGTCTTTAAAGATATACGCTGTACAATCAACAGTCGACCCTGTAAAAGTTCAAAGAAAACATTAAAGGCCACAAAAGTACCACAACATTTTTTTATGATGAGTCAGAATGAACTCCTGGCCACAACTGTATTTATTCACACAGCTTCACGTCAGTGGATCAGAGCAGTTACTTAGGAAAATTAAACAAGGAAAAGAAAAGCCTACAGGAAGAACATTTTGGACCCAACAGACTGTACCACATAAAACAAATTCAAACAATAACAGGCAAAGCCACCAAACTTGTTCTCTCTCTAAGGAGCAGGAATGAATGCCCTGGGCCATCCTTCAGATACTATATCCTGTGCATTCCTCCAAAGCTCTAGTAACATCAAGCCTGCCACATTCACCATATTTGGGGCATTCTTGTGGAAGAATGTGAGATGAATGGGGCTGAATACAAATATCACTGCACATTTCATCTGGAGAGCGGATGTAGGTTCTGGCAATTGTTTTGGTTATCAGTTAAGCAAGACCTCGAGAGTCTGCCAAGGTTTATGTGTTATAACCAAACACCTCCACCTTGTTCTGTTGTTTTTTTCCCCCAGGATGTTGGAACAAAATAGCTGCAACACCATCAGCTGTTAACCTACAAACCCAACTCAAAACCGTTTTCACCCTTTGTCCCCTGCCCTTGGTGCTTTCTTTTCTCTTCTCTCCTATGGAAAAATAAGGCCAAGCACTAAACACTGTTATGCCACCCTGTGAGGTAAGTTTAGCTTCTGCCTCGGGGTCTTTGGAGACGTGTCCTCTGTTTACACTACCCTTGTTAATTTGAGTCCCATGGAGGACAAGGTTAGTGGTTATCTCCATAATGACAAGGTGTAAACAAAGCTTTCTGTAGACTCAAGCTTTTTTTCTCAAAGCTCTCTGAAAGCTGATGTATTGTTTCCGTCGTGTGTGCACGTGGCCTGTGAGTGTGACATTCACTCACAGGCCACGTGAAAAATGAGAACTCCTAGCGACTGCTGAATGCAAAGACTGAGATGAGCATAAAAGTGAGAATAACACATGCATACATGCCAGTGCTGCCACCACCAACAGCACCAGCAGCAGCAGCAGCAGCAGGTTTCAGTTAACAAGGAAACCCCAGAAAGTATTCAAATATCAATATTACTTCCAACATGTGATACCACCTTGTACACTGAGTCGCACATGCACCCATTGAGACAGCCTCCATTAGGTGCGTGCCATCACAACAAATGTCTCCAAGGATATAATCTAAGACAGCTCTTTGGTCACAGCCTGTGACAGACATTGATGAAATACACAAAATACACACAATGTACTGCTTTGCATGACCTTTGAATGACATCTGTTACACTTTATGTTAGTCAGAAAGAGAACATGCACATTTTTCCTCCAATAAAAATGCCTTTGTATTCATTAGGAACAGAAACATAGTAACAAGCTGCATACCTCGGCATATGTAACCTATGGGTTACTTTCCAGTGCAGCTATTTGAATAGACAATGCAAACAGTTGTATTTCATTTGTTTGTCTTCCTGTGCAAAAAATAAGGACTTCTCCTTAAAGGATGGCAAATTGTTCCTTCAGTTTGTTACCACATATTCTTTAATGTAGGTCTTAAAGGTAAACAAGAACTTTGGAACCGCTTGTTCGTTAGCAATTAAATTTATCGCACCATTATCATCCGCTTCATTCTGTAGCTTTAATTTTAATCACGTGAAATCATTCACAGTCGTCCTTGTCTGTAACCGTTTGTTTGTCAGTCAGCAAAATTCAAAAGCCACCAAGCTGAATTTCAGGAAACTTGGTGGAAAGGAATTGGGATCACTTTGAGAGTGCCCAACAGATCGAACTTTTTTCCGGTTAACTCTCGAAGACTAAGCCTTGTGATTTACTGTGAAAACATTTTATAAAGTCACTTGAGTCAACATGTGCCGCCTACTATCAAAGAGGAAACAAGACAATAACCTGCGGTTGTAATGTATTTTAGTGACATTCACTGAGATTGTTTTGAGGGAATATTGTTTGCTCAGTTGGGTGTGTGTGTCTGGGTTTGTGTGTGTTGTCTCTACATTTATTGTTCTGTAGGGTTTTAGGTGGAGTCCTGGGTAAACATGCTCTGTGTAACTGGACCTTCTCTTGTAGCCTAATCATTCAGCTGTAATATCCAGGGCAGAAAAAAATAACGTGTTTTTTTGTTGATGTTGTTCATAAAAATTAATTTGCCCATAAAAACAAAATCCTGAAACACTGTTATTTACCTTGCCAGCTTCTACACTCTCACTCCTCTCTTTTCTTTTTTAAAGACCTCATTTTTAATTTAATTAGTTTTTTTTTTTAACACATTAGTGGTAAAATATTCATTCACAAAACAACATGCATGAATGAGATGAGCCAGATTACGACAAGCAAAAACATCGCCTATCACTCACAATAAAACCCGGTACAATGTGCTGGAACAAGCCCGATCCATGAAGGCCGACTGCCAACCCACTGGACCCGGATCTGCTGTCATGGTCTGGGTATCAGACCCTGTACTTAGGGTCAGACCACTTTCGGCTGCATGACAGACCTGCCAAACAGGACGGTGCTTTTAACGTTGTGGCTATAATTCGAGGACCTAAACTCGACATACAGGTGAAGTTAATATCTTGTTTAAACGAACACCCTTTAAACCTCTAGGCCTGTCGGTGCAATTTTACAAGCTTAGTGCTGTCATTTAAAGACCCTGGACAATTATTACATGTGCGTCATGGCACAGCTCTCAGCCCTGCATGTGGGCTATTAATCAGTTGATATGAACCTAGGAGTGGCTGCTGGCCTGATAGTAAAGAAACGAAACAAGAAAAGAACAGTCCAGCAAGGCGTTAAACTTTGGCCAAACTTCCAAATGGTCAAAGGGCTTACACTACAACTACTATTATGTTGTTCTAAGTTTGAAAGAAAACAGTAGTGT